GACTACATCAAATCTTCTGTCCTGGGGGGACGAACAGAGAGAGGGAGCAACGCGGGGGCAGTTTCTCGCATCCTCGGGTTTCCTTGATCAGGATAGACGCTACAGCTGATGGTTTCCGAGCAACAGAGACGCAATCCCTCTAAATCTGCCAACTGCTTTTGCTGCCCTCGACCCCGTAAGACATCCCTAACACTTTATAGGAAATCCGGCTGCAAATGGTCACCCCGTCAGCTGGGCCTTTGGGAACATCTGGCCCTGTACCATGTAGAAAGTTTGACCCAAGCGCTGTGACTGATAACTCAGCCCGTCAACTCACGAAGCCCCCAAAAAAACAATCAAGCCCCATCAGTAGGGCCCTACCAAATTCAAGGTCCATTTTGGTAAATTTCAGTCATAGGATTTTTTTAAAAATCTGAAATTTCACAGGGTTTTAAACGTGGGGATCCCGACCCAAAAGGAGGTTTTGGGGGAGGGAAGGGAGGGTCGCAAGGTTATTGTAGGGGGGGTCATGGTATTCTGTGCTGCTGCTGGTGGTGGGGTGCTGTCTTCAGAGCTGGGTGCCCGGCCAGCAGCAGCCGGTCTCCGGTTGCCCAGCTCTGAAGGCGGCACAGAAGTAAGGGTGGCAATACTGTGACACCCCTCCCCCCCTACAATCGCCAGATTTCACGGTCCGTGACGCGTTTTTCACGGCCGTGAATTTGGCAGGGCCCTATCCATCCGCTCTTTTGATCTTGTCTCCTACAGCTGCCTAGCCCCTGAACGTTGGTGCTGTTCTACCCTGACCTCCCGCGGGATATTAGTTGAGCCGGGGTTTGCCCCTGGATTTGCAAACAGGTCTATTTGGGGCGGAGTTCTGTCTCCCCTGCGCACAGCTTTGTATCACTGTGGTATCTAAGGCGCTGATTGTCACCCTGGGCCTGCGTTTTGTGCTGGGGTAGAGGCGTGGGGGTTGAGCCGGCTCCGCGAGCTCTTAAACATCCCCTCCTGCAGGGGGCTGCCCCAGCCAGTATGGAGCTGGCCTAAGGACATGGCTCATTATATCGGTGTGGATTGGGCGTGTGTGTGCACTGTGCTGGAACTATTCTCTGCCCCTCCTCGCCCCCAGGGCCCACAGGGGGTGGATCCAGGGTGAGGCCCGGTGCTGGTTATTCTCTACCCCCACCAGGTGTGGAGCTTGGATTCCGGCAGCAGTCCTGAGGTTGCACTAAATGACACCAGGGAAGAGGCAAGGCCCAGAATATGGGGAGCACAAAGAGGGCTTAAAGTCACCTGAATCTTTTCCATTCCTCTCCCAAGGGCAGGAGCGGAGTTGACCGAGAACGAGGATCAGGCTAGTGTATGTGGATGTTGCCCTCTGCTGGATGGGATGAGAACTGCTATTGTGGGTCCTAGGGCCTATACTGCTAAGTGCTGGTGGGGAGTCTCCAGAAGCTTAAGGGGTGGGGATCTGGGGTTTGGAGCAGGAGAAGCGCCATAACAGTCCTAGTGGATTTAGGCAGCTGTGTTTGTGAAAACCGCCAGGAGAGGGGAGCAGAGTAACATTTCCTTTACAATTTCCATGCTTCTTAGAGTCTCTGAGCACCCCCCGCTTCCCCGCCCAAAAGCATGCCGAAGCAAAAACTAATCCCTGCATAATTAGGGTGACCACACATCCTGTTTTGGCCGGGACAGTCCCTTTTTTAAGCCCTGTCCCGGCCATCCTGACTTCTTTGGCAAAAGGGGCATTTGTTCCGATTGCTGTTGCCAACTGATGACGCTTGGGACGGGACAAATGCCCACTTTTGTCAAAAAAGCAGGGTGCGGAGAAACATGGGGGGGGCGAGCGGTGATGCCAGCACCACGCGTGGGGGGAGGCACGGCTTGGGCAACCGGCTCAGGCCAGACCTGGGCAGGGCTCAGGTGAGCTGAGCTCCTTGGGTCAGAGCCACATGGGGTGGGGTGGGGGGGGAACCTCGGGCTAGCCCCACATGGTGTCCCCTTTTCCCTTTGGGAAATATGGTCACCCTAAGCATAATGGATTTGCCCCACAGATCAAGTCACAGTGATGAGTTAATTACATAACAATCACCGATCTACACATCTCTACTAACCCTGTGATTAGAAGGGGTGGTTTACAGTGGCCAGGCTACCCCACCACAGATTCAGTGTAGACCAGGGGTGGGCAAACTTTTTGGCGGTTACGCAACTGTATGGAGGGCCGGGTAGAGAAGGCTGTGCCTCCCCAAACTGCCTGGCCCCTGCCCCCTATCCGCCCCCTCCCACTTCCCACCCCCCTCAGAACCCCTGACCCATCCAACTCCCCCTGCTCCTTGTCCCCTGACCGCCCCATCCCGGGACCCCCCGCCCCCTATCCAAACCTCCCTTGCTCCCTGTCCCCTGACTGCCCCGACCCCTATCCACTACCCCAACCCCCTGACAAGCTCCCCCCCCAGGATTCCCATCCCCTATCCAACCGCCTTCTGCTCCTCGTCCCCTGACCACCCCCTCC